AAAAAAAAAAAAAAAAAAAAAAAAAATATTATGAATTTAATTTCCATTAATAGTGTTTTGTGTAACAAGTTCTTTTTAACCCCAATTTTTTTGTGTTTAATTATTCATTTTGTCACTATTTAAATTTCCAATATTCTTTGTGTTGTAACTTGTAACAGGTCCTTTTAAATTAACCCCATTAATAATATTGTGTTTAATTTTATTTTATTTTTTTTTTTGCCATATTCATTTTATTTAAAATTTTCTTGAAATAGGATTTGTTGTTCCAAAAGGCTGGAGAATATATGTCTACACAAGAGAGATCAATTATGACCCAATTATGTATGAAGAGCCACTTAAATTCAATCCATGGAGATGGCTGGTTAGTTAGTTTAAATTAAAATAATTATTATCAAAATTAAACAATTCAATTTGTTTTAAGTGTTAATTTTGTATTATTTTGCAGGATAAGAACTTGGAATCACATAATTATTGCTTTCTGTTTGGAGGAGGAACCAGGCTTTGCCCTGGGAAAGAACTTGGAATTGTCACAATTTCAGTTTTTCTTCACTATTTTGTAACTACATGCAGGTGATCATTTTTTCCTTACTTATTTATTTATTAAATAAACTTTTTAGGGATGAATCTCAATTTTTTTGGTCTACTGCCCGAATATTAATGGTTCGGGATTATGGGTGTTATTCAAGCCTAGCCTAGCCAAGCCGAGCACTCCGTGTTCCAGCTCGTCCTTGCTGAAAACAATTCTCGGCTTGTTCAAGCTCGTGAAAGCTCGTTTGGCTCGTTTTAACAAATCTTAAATCTTTAACGATTTATTTGTTTATTTTTTTAATCTTTTCAGTGATGAATCTTAATGTTTTTGGTCAACTGACCAAATAATGGTTCGGGATTATGGGTGTTATTCGAGCCTAGCCGAGCCGAGCACTTCGTGTTTCAGTTCGTCCTGGTTTAATAAACTGCTATTAAACAAGCCTCGACTTGTTTAAGCTCGTGAAAGCTCGTCGAGTCCTAAATCTTAAACGAGCTATCGCAAAGCCGATTTGTGCATTCGTGAATACGCTCGACTCGGCTATTCATTTAAAATTAATAAAGACTTAAAAAAAACTAGTTGTTTGTTGACGACCTCAGCTCGACTAGTTTACAAAACGATCTTGATTCGTTGTTGAAGCGGAGTTCATCTAAAGTAAACAAACAATGTAAGCTTAAGTTTTCACGAGTCAAATCGAATTGTGTTTGCGAACAACTCAGTTTGAATAACAATCCCTATTCTTGAGTTGTGATTTAATTCATGCATATTGAGTTATTATTTAATTTATGGGCAGATGGGAAGAAGTTGGAGGAGATGTCATTTTGCAATTTCCTAGAGTGGAGGCACCAAATGGTTATCACATAAATGTGAGGAAAATGTGATTTTATCTCACATTTTAACAAGTAAATGGAGTTTGCCCATTTGTATTTGGATCACATACTGGACTGTTAATCAATGGGCCTGACCATCCTAGAGTTGATTTATAGAGAAAATTGATCCTGGGCCCAATCTTGTGTAGGGGCTATTTTGTTCAACTTTCTGTAACATTTTCAAAATTCAAACTTAACAAAGAGGTCCATGTTATGACAAAGTTCTTGTGTGGTTGGAAATTAAAGCAAATCAATTGTCCCAT